TGATTTGTGTAGAAATATAGGTAGTTGTTTTGGGTTCATGTGCTTATTTGTTTTGATTGAATTACTCTATTTTTCTGAATTGCAAGCCTGGGAAAAACACAATAGAGAATAAAATTTTAGGGAAGAAGAACACAGCAGAGCATAAAATTAAAAAAAAAATGAACTTATCAAATAATATAAAAAGTAAAAAATAATGGAAGAAATAAAAATAACTGAAGTATACAATTCTGATCATTTTCGTATTCATTTTTTGGAAAATGAACCAAGCATACAAAGACAGTTTTCCGTTGTGCAGCCAAACACTAGAAAGGAAAATATTTTCTGAAAAATGACTCATTTTTCAGAAAACAGTTTCCATAAGTTATTTTCCTGTTTTCCAAACGGATCCTTAATCTATTAATAATTTCCATTTCATGGTCTATGACACAACTAGACTTAAACAAATAAAATTGGAGGTTATATAAATACAATTTTGACATATCAAAATCTATCACAATTTATTCCACACACACAGATATATATATATATATATATATATATATATATATATATATATATATATATATATATATATATTAGGTGTAGTTAGATATATTTGTTTGCAAATTATATTTTGACTTTTTGGTATTGAATTTCTTAATTTTATTATGTGAATTGTGTTGTCATTGTTAATCATCTATTCCTATTTAAATAGGTAGACAATAATGACCTGCAGTGGAGATACGTGTACATATCATATGCATGCATCTTCATATGTATGCATCTTCATATGCATATCATAGGGTGTGTTTGGAATCCCGGAAAGTGATTTCTGGAGATCATTTTCCGGATTTCTGGGGGGGGGGGTGGGGGGAGGGAGTCATTTTCCATCTTCATTCAGACGCACGCTCCACCTACAATCTCCACACCTCCATCTGCAAGCTTCAGCCTCCATCAACACAAGAACATACTCCACCAACAAATCCATCACCAGAAAAGGTCCACCATCCACCGGAGACTTCCTCGTCACTGGTTTCCGCATCGGAACCAAAGGCTTTGGCTTCCGATGCAGAAACCAGAGATATGGTTTCTGCAGTCGGAAACCAGTTATCTGGTTTTCACATGGTTTTTGATACGGAAACCAGAGTGGTTTTCAATGCGGAAACCAAAGCCACTGGTTTCGGGCTGCGGACGGAAACTAGCAATGAACTGGGAAGATGCTTGTGATATTTTTTTTATCTCTCAGTATTTTCTTTTTATTTGTGAAATCAATTCCTCTTATTTGTGTAGAAATATAGGCAGTTGTTTTGGGTTCATGTGCTTATTTGTTTTGATTGAATTACTCTATTTTTCTGAATTGCAAGTCAGAGAAAAACACAATAGAGCATAAAATTTTAGGGAAGAAGTACACAGTAGAGCATAAAATTTTTAAAAAAATGAACTTATCAAGTAATATTAAAAGTTAAAAAATAATGGAAGAAATAAAAATAACTGAAGTATACAATTCTGATCATTTTCCTATTCATTTTCTGGAAAATGAACCAAGCATATAAAGTTTTCCTTTGTGCAGCCAAACAGTAGAAAGGAAAATATTTTTTGAAAAATGACTCATTTTTCATAAAACAGTTTCCATAAGTCATTTTCCTATTTTCAAAACGGATCCTTAATCTATTAATAATTTCCATTTCATGGTCTATGACACAACTAGACTTAAACAAATAAAATTGGGAGTTCTATAAATACAATTTTGACATATCCAAATCTATTACAATTTATTCCTAACACACACATATATATATTAGGAGTAGTTAGATATATTTGTTTGCAAATTATATTTTGACTTTTTGGTATTGAATTTCTTAATTTTATTGAATTGTGTTGTCATTGTTAATCATCTATTCCTATTTAAATAGGTAGACAATAATGACAACACACAGTTGACATAATCAAACGACTTAATAGGAATAGGTGATTATATTAATAATGACAAGGATGATGTAAGTTCTAGATTGAATTCCTTGTGCGCACATGAAAACTAGTTCAACAAAACTTGGATCACCTAATTTAAAAAATAATAAAAATAAAATAAAAAAATAAAATAAAAAAGGTCTCATTTGAGAATCAAAAGGTTACAAGTTTAACTTCTTAATCTAATAAACTATGTGTAACTTAAACTAGTTTACCTCCTTATAATTCTTTCCAGTGTACATTTTTAATGTTGTGGCTGTGGGTGTCCTTATCAATAAAAAAAAAATGAAATTCAATACCTAAAATATTTAAATTTAAATGTCGCAATCGAGCTGAGAATCCATTGTTACATGAGATCAGATGATAAAGCAGGACAGAGAACAAATTTGTTTAATGCAAGTTTTAATATTCATATATGGAGTAAGGTGTATATTAATTCATATCTAAGAGGCAAGAGGTGGCTAATGGGTATGTACACTTAATATTGTTTCTTGGTTTCTTGGTGTATAGTACTCCATATATATATATATATATATATATATATATATATATATATATATATATATATATATATATATATTACGCTTGTAATACATTTTACTTGCATTTTAATACACTTTACTTATACTTAGGTGTACTCTATGAAACTGTTATTTGTATTTTTAACACAATTTACTTGCCCTCCAAAATTTAAATTATTTACAAAAATGTTATCCCATATTTAAAAAAAAGAATATTTTTATCTATTAGATCTGGACAGATGGATAACTACGATAGATTCTCATTCATCTATTAAACATGTGGTTCTTACCTAATTCATCATATATATATATATATATATATATATATATATATATATATATATATATATATATATATATATGCCTCCAAGTCGATTGCTATGGCCTAGGAGTAGTTAGAAATATTTGTATGCAAATTATATTTTGACTTTTTGGTATTGAATTTTTTCATTTTATTAGGCTCTGTTTGGCAAACCTAGCTGAAAAGCTATAAGCTAGGAGCTGATAGCTGAAAAGGAGCTGAAAGCTGAAAAGCTATAAGCTCGGAGCTGAAAATTGAAGAGCTGTTAAGCTAACTGTTATGATTGAAAGTGTTTGGTAAAATTTGCTTTTTGATAAGCTGATAAATGTAAAAAGACTAAAAAGGACATTTTCATAAAGGACATTTCGTCTTCCAAAAAAAGTAAACACTTTTTAAAATAAAATTATTAGCATGATCATGATCTAGCATCCCATAATGAAGTAGCAATATTGTTGCGAATCTCCTTCATCTCCATAGAGGTGTGACTTAAATTTTCGTTGATGGAGATATTACTACTTGAGTCTTGAAGTTCATCGGGCGGTATGTAATCTGGATGCTGCTTAAGCACATTAAACATCATGTCATCTTGTGAATTCTTCCGAATATAATTATGTAGTGCAAATGTGGCCATAATAACATCAATTTTGGTCTCCTCACTAAACTGCGGCATTTTAGCAAGTATCTTTTATCTCTTATTCCATACTCCAAACGACCTCTCAATACAACTTCGAAGAGAAGAATGTGCACGATTGAATGCTTCTTGAGCATTAGTTGGCGGCTCTTGTTCAATTTGAGATTGAAGCCATATTGCTAATTTTAAAATAATAATAATAATAATAATAATAATAATAATAATAATAATAATAATAATAATAAGCTAAAGTTTCAACATAATTGTTTAGCATGAAACAAGACTAAGGAAGGGATTGACGTGAAAGTTGGGATAGGGGAAAAGAAAGGGTTTTAATTCATAAGGTTAAAATATGTCATTACTTTAAAATAATAAGGGTAAAGATGAAAAAAAAATTAGGAAGCTAGTAGCTTATTTTGAAACGCTACCTAAAGTAGCGTTCCAAAATAAGCTCTTATTTTAAGCTAGGAGCTTATTTTGGGAACATTACCAAACAGAGCTTATAGCTTATTAGTAGCTTAAAATAAGCTATAAGCTCCTAGCTTAGTGTTGCCAAACAGAGCCTATGTGAATTGTGTTGTCATTATTAATCACCTATTCCTATTTAAATTGGTGGACAATAATGGCAACACACAGTTCACATAATAAAATGACTTAAAAGGTCATGACCGGAAGGGGTGGTGTTGGATTTGAATCTCATTGGAATATATGAGAAACATTTCAAGGATGATGTAAGGTCTAAATTGGATCCTTTGTGCACACATGAAGATTAGAATTGATATGTGGGTTGGCTGTGTGACTCGCGGTTTACTTTCGCAGTGGCTTCAGGGACGAAATTCTGTGTGCTTAGAATTAGTCCCGACAAAACTTTACTCACCTAAGTTAAAAAATAATATTAATAAAATATGAAAAGGTTATGACTTGAGAATCAACAGGTTACAAGTTTTACTTCCACTACTGGAAATTATGGAATTTCCGACCACCTGAAAATGATCTTAAATTAAGTTGATACCAAAAACTGGTCGGAAATAGCAACAAAGGTTTTTCCGGATACCAAAAGTGGTAGGAACAAGACTTTCGACTTGATTTAAGATCACTTTCAGGTAGTCGGAAATTCCATAATTTCCAGTAGTGTTCTTAGTTTGAGCTAAGTAATAAATAAATTAAATTATGTGCAACTTAAACTAGTTTACCTCCTACCAGGACTATGTGGTCCAATGGTACCCGGGTTGGACTTCCATTTGGAAGATTGTGAGTTCGAGCCTCAGTGGAGGCGTTATTAGCTCTTTGTGTTTCAGTAGGTTGAGAAAGTATATGAACAGATACTACATTGTAATAGAGCTAGTACCATTCAAAAAAAAAAAAAACTAGTTTACCTCCTTATAGTCCTTCTAGGTGCACATTTTTAAGGTTGTGGTTGTGGGTGTCCTCATCACTAAAAAAAAATATGAAATTCAATACCAAAAATATTTAAATATAAATGTCGCGATCTATCTGAGAGTCCATTGTTATATGAGATGAGACGGTAAAGCAGGACAGAGAACAAATTTGTTTAATGCAAGTTGCAATATTCATATATCATATATGGAGTAAGGTGCATATTAATTCATATCTATTGCTCTAAATTTTCATACATACAATTCAAAGAGAGAGCGTCTGAGGAAGATGGCCTGTGTTGCTTTATCTTCTCTGATGCGAACAATAGAGTTGGAGTTGCTGAACCCCGGACGAAGTGCGATAGTTGAGGATGAAGAACAGGTGAAATCTCTCTACCAAAGTCTTTGCTTTTTTATAGAATTCTTGGACAAGTCCAAGGATATCGTTGCAGCCAAAAATTTGGAACCTAAAATCAAAGATTTAGTGTTCCAAATAGAAGACAGAATCGAAAGGGAACTTGAAACTATATACGGAGAAACATACAGTGAGCCTAAGAAACGACAAAAAGCTCAGAGAAGACTCCCCTCGGCCTTATTAAAACAAGCAATAAGGGACACTGAAGATTTGATGGTCCAAATTAGGAAGATACTGAACAGCCCTGTCCAAGCTTTTCCAAGTGCAGATCCTCAAGCTTCGTGTGGTGGGTCATCAGAACACGCCGCAGCTTCAGACGTTATGGAAGGTCGTGGCCAGAAATTTGAAGAGATAAGGGACCAACTCATCTGCAACCGCTCATCAGGACGAGAAGTAATCTCGATTCTCGGAATGGGAGGTATTGGGAAGACAACTTTAGCAAGAAGGTTGTACGAAGATCCATCGGTTTTGTCACATTTTGACATTCTTGGGTGGACTGTTGTTTCCCAAAAACATGATGTGAGAAAGATGTTAGTTGACCTCCTTAACAATGAAGCAGCAAAGATTGATGAAGTAACAGATGGTGAACTGGCAGGAAAACTACAGAAATGTTTGAGGGGCAAGAGGTATCTAATTGTTTTGGATGACATATGGAGCACCCGTTCTTGGGAAGGTATCCAGTTGTGTTTTCCTGATGACAACTGTAGGAGTCGAATATTGTTGACCACTCGACACAAAGAGGTTGCTGATTCTGCTGATTCATCAGGTAACCGTCTTCATACCTTGGGTTTTCTAAATCAAGAAGAAAGTTGGGATTTATTTTGCAAAAGCTTTCCTGGAATACAAAGTGTGCCATTTGAACTTGAAACAATCGGGAGGAACGTTGTTGATAAATGCCACGGGTTACCACTGGCGATTGTTGTAGTCGCAGGAGTTTTTTCAAAACTCAACAAAACTGTTGAGGAATGGCAAAATTTTGAAAACCAAACAAATTCACTAGTTGTAACTACAGATCTTAGTGAGCAGTGTTCAAGAATACTCACCCTGAGTTACAACTACTTGCCACTGCATTTGAAAGCTTGCATTTTATATTTGAGTATTGTCCCAAAAGATGAAGCAATTATAGTCAAAAGACTTGTAAGGCTATGGATTGCGGAGGGTTTCGTGGAGTTAATAAACAGTGAGAACTTGGAAGAGGTGGCTCATGAGTATCTACAAGATCTTGCTGATAGAAGCTTAATCCAAATTCAGAAGCGGCACTTCAATGGCAAAATCAAGACGTGTAGGGTGCACGACATAGTACATGAGTTTTGTGTGAGGGAGGCAATAAAAGAGAAGCTGCTGAATGTTAAAAACGAACAACATCCCTCCTGTGGCGAACTGCAACAAGAAGGATGTCGTTGGTTAAATTTCTGGCCAAAGAAGATCCCAGACTTGGATAATATATATGTACCTCGCTCCATTTTGTATTTGCAGCATACAAGTTATGCATCGTCATCAGAAGTTATTGAGCCAAATGATGACCTAAGATGGGGTTTATTGTTAAGAGTTTTGGAATTTGGTCCTCCAATCAGCTCCGGCTCATCCTTAAATTATACCTCTCTTCTGAGATATCTTGGTATATGTCTGGGCCATTCATCTCTTCCACTTGAGGATGTCTCGCGCGTGCTGTCTTGTAGTCGGAATTTGCAGACTCTTATTGTGTCACACAAGCCAAGCAGCAGCTATGATGTGCCTAGTTCTTGCCATTATTTGTCATCTGAAATGTGGGCATCGCAGGAGCTAAGTCATGTTGAGTGCAGCTATTTGATTTCAGTTGATCCTCCGAATGAGGTTAAGGAGAAGCTGCACACGCTTTATTGGTTGAGTCAGCGACATTGCACAGAGGATGTGTTTTCCAGGATTCCAAATGTAAGAAAGTTGGGGATTTTTTGTCAACCCGAAACTAATGATGGTGGTGGTGATGGTGATGGTGATGATGATGATGATGATGATAGTGATAGTGATGATGATGATGATGATGATGCTGATGGTGGTGGTGGTGGTGGTGATGGCGGTGATGGTGATGATGATAATGGTAATGGTGGTGGTGGCAACGGGGAGGACGACCGAGAGGTTGGTCTCAACAACATCTTGGAGAATCTTCACCATCTAAATCAACTTGAGACACTCAAGATTAAAGCAATTAAGCAAAACATATGCCTCAGGAATCCACAAGCCTTTCCGCAGAACCTCAAGGAGCTTACATTATTTACCACTCGTTTGCCATGGAATCATATAAACATCATTGGCTGCATGCCTAGTCTTGAAGTACTCAAACTGAAAGCTGAAGCCACCTGCGGCGAGACATGGGAACCAAGCGACGGGGGTTTTCGTCGGTTGAAGTTCTTGCTGATTGACAGCTGCTACCAATTCGAGAACTGGGAAGCCACTCCTGAGCATTACCCTGTCCTTGAGCGCCTAGTCTTGCGTAACTGCCTGCTTTTGGAAGAAATTCCTAGTAGCTTTGTAGATATGATCACTTTGCGTTTAATTGAGATTAGCCTTTGCCGTCCTTCTCTTTTGGCTTCTGCCCAGCGAATTCAAAAAGAACAACAAGATCTTGGAAATTACGGGCTCGCTGTTCGCAATACTACACCGTTCTCGGTGCTAGCGTCAATGGTAGTGTCAATGCTACCAAATGTATTGTCCGTGGCTACATCATTATGTCAAATTATGTAGGTTTTACAAACTTTTTAAATGTTGGATTTTAATATATTTAAATGATTTTATTGAATTGTACTAGACTTTTGTAAAGTTTGTAATACTTCATAAAAGTTCTTATATTATAGACATTTTATTTTATTAATTTTAACGAATTTCTTTCTTTTTTTTTTTTGTTTTAAAAGGGGCGTTTCGGGTTTCGGTTGGGTTTTTTCGATTTAAAAAAAAAAATTAAACCATTCGATTTAACAATAGAGTTCGGTTCGTTTTTGTGAAAGTCCACTATTTGAACGTTTCTTTTTTTTCTTGACCGATTGTTCAATTGACTCACTTGGAGTGCCACTTGAAGTGTTTTATTGATGACAAGATGAAGAATCATCCATCTACATAGCTGATAGTACTAATATCCACGTGTTGCGGTCATAGTACTAAATGAGAACAAATATAATAATAGAAGGGGATTTTATTGATCAAAGTGTGACCTAATACAATCTAAATGGTTATCCCGAGGGCCGACTGAATGCGGTCGGGCTGCTCTGTAAATAACCTATTGATCGTCCAAAAGCCCCCCACACTGTAGCCGCCGTGGGTACTTATAGCATTTGGCCGGAGACAAACTTCCGGTAAGTGCCCGGGCGGACGGTTGTTGTGATTACATATGACCCTTCCCAATTCTGAGCTAACTTTCCTCCTTCCAGGGGTTGACTTGCTTCTCGTCGTCGTAGCACATAATCCCCAACCTGGAAGTATCTCGGGGGAACTCGTACGTCTTTAGTGCTCTTCACCCTCTTTTGATATTCGGCCATGCGCCGAGCCGCAATTTCTCTCTTCTCTTCCACACTATCTAGGTCCACGGCCATAGAGTGTTCATTCTCTTCTGCATTAAACGACCGTTCTCTAGCCGTCGGGATCCATGCCTCGATCAGTAAGCGCGCCTCGGCACCATAGACTAGAGCGAATGGTGTTTCCATCGTTGCCTCTCTAGGGGGTCGTGCGATATGTCTAAAGTATGTACGGGAGCTCCTCGACCCAACTACGGCCAGCTGAGTGCAACTTCTTCTTCAATCCTTCCAAGATGGTTCAGTTGGCGTTTTCCACTTGGCCATTTCCCTGCGGGTAAGCTACCGATGATCGGATCGAAGTCGTCCCGATCGTCGCCAAGAAGTTCTGGAAGTACTGGCTCACAAATTGTCGACCGTTATCACTTATTAAGTGAACGGGAACACCAAACCGTGAGATAACATTCCGCCTTAAAAATCTGGCACATTGCTGTGAAGTGATGTGGCCAAGGGCTCGGCCTCAATCCACTTAGAGAAATAATCAATCGCCACAATAACAAAGCGCCGTCGCCCGAACAGCTACGGAAAAGGCCCCAAGATATCCACCCCCCATCGAGCAAACGGGATGGCAGTCGTGACCGGTTGATAAAAAGTTGCCGGACGACCAGGCATCCGAGCGTACAATTGGCATGTTTCATAACTCTTAGCAAGATTTTCACAATCTAGCTTAATGGACGGCCAATAGTACCTGATCACCATGATGCGTCGAGCCAGCGATCGACCTCCTTGGTACGACGAACATATGCCCGAGTGTAACTCGTTCATAACCAAGTCTGCTTCAAAAGAGTTCAAACATCGCAACAAAGGACCACCATACGATCGTCGGTATAACCGTCCCTCTTGCACCTGAAATCTTGGTGCCCTCAATTTCGCCTTTCGCACCCGTTGTGGATCATCCGAAAACCGGTCATGCTGCAGGTATTCCATCAAATCTAAAATCTGTGTTTCCTCAGGCGGTTGGATATGGGCGACCGGTAAGCGGTGAATACTGTGTCTCGAAATCACTAAAATCCGGGCGATTTTGGACATATGCTCGTGTGCGTCTTGTGCTAGCTTCGACAGACCATCTGATGAATGCTCGGCAGGGGGTAGGGATCCAACGGGCACGCTTTATTCGGATCGGTGAAGTCAATGCACATTCTCCAGGATGGAGGCTTAGGGACCATCACTCGGGATAAGTGATCGGGTGAATGTGCCCGATCGCGGCCATCTTCTTCACCTCTTCACAAACAAACTCCCGGCGATCGGAGGACAAATGCCGAGTCTTCTGAATGATTGGTTTAGCAGCAAGGTCTACGGACAACCGATGGCAAATAACCGTTCAATCAATCCCGGGCATATCCTTGGGCCCCCATGCGAATATGTCAGCAAACTCCTGAAGTGTTGCTAACACCTCCAGTCGAAGTTTAGGGGTAAGGGCCCGACCAATCTTAACTTTTCTCTCGGGCTGGTCCTCTGACAAAGGAACCTCCTCGATTTCTTCGGACGGCTCAGGTTGTTCTTTCCGGTCTTTGACAGCCTCTCGGATGATTGTGTTTACTCTGGACGAACCTGCATCCCGCCGATTCACTGCTCGGGAATAGCACTTCCTGGCTGACTGAGCCTCACCGCGTAGAACTCCAACCCCAGCTGGGGTAGGAAATTTCATGCAGAGGTGAGGTATAGATATAATTCCCCCGACCTTCATGATGGCCGGGCGGCCTAGGATCACGTTGTGGACGCAGTGAAGATTCACGATCACAAATTCTATCTCCGTCTTAACTGACTTGGGGCGGAGTTCCTAGCTCGACCGGGAGGACGATTTTTCCTTCGGGGCGAATGGTAGCCCCGGTAAATCCCGACAAGGGTACACCGACCGGAATCAGCTCCCGTCGATCAAGCTTTAATTTCTCGAAAACGTCCAAATAAAGGACATTTACGCTACTCCCGGTATCCACCATCACCCTTTGTACGTCGACTCCCATGATGTCGATCGTAACAACGAATGCTTCCATCCCGGTGTTTCCGCTCTCGGGTTGATCTTCCAGAGAAAAAGTGATCGGCTCCATTTTTTGCCTCTTACCTGTCTCCCAGGAATCGACGATCGCGACCGGGCAAGGGTTCCGAGCTTGGGAAGCATCTTCCAAGCCCCCGAATATAACATGAATAGTCGGCTTTGATGCTTGCCGAGTACTCGACGGTGGATCGGGATCCCGCCAGTCCTGGTCCAATCGATCAGGACGATTAGAGCGTCTGTGATCTTTCCTCTCGGTTGTTCTCTTGTTTTCTTCCCGCTTTCCAACACACTTATCCAACTTTCCCAGCTGAAGCAAGTCTTCCAACAACTGTTTTAGGTGTGTGCACTCCTCCGTGTCATGCCCAGCGCATCGATGATAAGCGCAATGTTTCGACTTATCCTTCCCATCCGGTCCAGGATGAGGTAGACAAATAAGGTTGCAGGACTGGGCATATTGCATGGCTTCCGCAGCCGATCGGTTTAACGCCGTGAAATCTCCCGGCCGAGCTCGGGGTCGGGGATGGTCTTCACCCGACCGGTTGTCCGACCGACCAGAAGGCTTCCGGGAAGATCCGACCTCTTGGGAGCGTTTGACGGCATTTGCCTCTCCAGCATTGGCATAATCCGTCACTCTACGGAGCGCTTCTTCATAAGTTGCGGGCGGGTGAAGTATAAAATATTGGTACAAATAACCGGCTCGGAGAGAAATATGTAGCATATGAATGGCTGTTAGGTCGTCCATGGGTTCGACCTCTCCCACTACCGCCTTCCACTTGACTAAAAAATTGGTCAAGCTCTCTCCTTCCAATTGCTTAGCCTTCTCAAGGTACATGTAAGGCTTCCAGATAACTTTGGAAGTTACAAACTTCCGAGTGAACTTTGTCGTCAAACTAGCGAAATCAGAAATGGACCCCGGTTGCAATGTTCTGAACCACTCGGCTGCCCGACCAGAAAGCGTCGAGTAAAAGGCCCGGCACATCACGGCGTCAGTTATGCCCATCATCAGCATATTGCCATAGTAAGTGTTGATGTGGACCTCCGGGTCTGTCCGGCCATCATATTCTTTGTTTCCAGGGATTCGCAAATCGAGCGGGTAGGGTTGAGCCATGATCTCCGCCGTGAAGGGTATCCGCAATAATGAAGCGGTATGATCAGGAGGAGGCCTTGAGGCATGCTCGTTCTGCCAGCGAGTGAATTCTGCGCGGAAGTCGTTCAACAGTCCTCGGGTCTCGTCTTGTTCAACCGTGCGAGCGGCTTGTCGACCGTCTTGCTCGACCGTACGGGTTGGTTCCCGAGCCCGTCGGCGACGATGTGCTTGAGACCCACTATGTCCTGACGACCCTGCTTGACTGGCCGCTCGCATGGGAGAATCAACCGAGCGCCTATTTGGATCCTGCGGTCCCAATCGTTGCCTCATTGCTGGTCGGAGTCGCTCAAACGCACTAGCTCGGTTGTCTTCGGGTTCAGGCTCTTGCATCATCTGCTCGGGCTCATGTGCCGCCTGGCCATGCATGTCCTGCCGTGGTTCCTCCATGGCCCCCGCCCCCTGGGGTCCCAACCTCGAGCGAGCCGAGCGTCTAGCCCGGGAACCGGGCTGAACATCGGGCTCGGTCGGTATTGCTGGTTGGCTCAAGGGAGCAGAGACTAGAGCCGTGTACACAGGCATGTATGGCGGATAACCGGCCGGTGGATAATACATAGGTGTCCCGGGCCAACAACCATATTGAGGAGGAGGTATTGGGTATGGGTAGTTCGCCGGGAACGGGTATTGTTGAGCGGACGTTGGATACGTGGGCTGTATGTAGTTGATCGGGTTGGGAGCCACCGATCGAGGAGGTGAAAGATTCAAGTTCAGGTCAATTGTCTGACCCTAATGTTGTGTGTAATTGTGGTCGGAGGAGCTAGCTTCCTCGTCCTCCGGTGCTTGGTACATGAATGGATACATGGTGATGATCAGGATCTGGTACTTGTCTACAATAGCTTTTCGTACCGGGTCCCCACAGACGGCGCCAAAATGATAGTACTAATATCCACGTGTTGCGGTCAAAGTACTGGATGAGAACAAATATAATAATAGAAGGGGATTTTATTGATCAAAGTGTGACCTAATACAATCTAAATGGTTATCCCGAGAGCTGACTGAATGCGGTCGGGCTGCTCTGTAAATAACCTATTGATCGTCCAAAAGCCCCCCTCACTGTAGCCGCTGTGGGTACTTATAGCCTTTGGCCGGAGACAAACTTCCGGCCTACCGGCATGTAACCCACGTAGCATCCACGCGTCTTCACCCGGCGAGCCCTCTCTGTCAACGTACAACATTGCCATGTGCCTCTCTTCAACATCTATGTCTCTTCATAAGGTAAAGGCACGATAACCGAAAAATAACACCGGTCGGAAAACCCAGCGGTCGGGCCCGACCGCCTTGTCTGAATGACGCCCGACCTAAAGATCCTGTATAAACAACAAGATGAAAGCAACCTAAGTCGGTCGGGATATATCCTACCAATAGCTAATATTTGAAAAATAATAATTATTAAAACACCAAATATTGGGACTTACGACTTAGAGTTGAGGTCTGAGGACTTAAGGAGTTAAAATTATTAATTATTATAATTTTTATATATAATACTAGCATTTTTTACGTGTGATGCACTTCAATTTATGCACAACATTAAAAAATTGATAAATGCAAATAATTACAAGTTATAGTTCAAATTATATTCCGCAATTCCTTAAAGTAGTAAATTTTAATCATCGTATTTGAAAACTATATATAGAGATGAACAAAATTTATATTTTGTTTATTAATAATGTAAACAATTTTGATATACTTTATACTTTGTTTTTATAATAAATAAATAAAATCTATATACATATAAAGGCCACTATTTTTCAGCCAATCAAATGGCTTCATTTTCCCGCTCATGGAAAAGTACACCGTTTGGTTTTTTTTTTTCTGTTATTCAAATCTAAGAATGTCCCGCCTACTTTGAATGTATTTTTTATTATTTAATTAGATCAGATTACAAAAGATATGATATTTGCGTGAGATTTTTATCCTAATTTTTAGGTTGTTGGCCTATTGTAGAGTTGCTATGGGTATGGCCTTCTTCATAGTATGCGTGCATTCTAAGTTTTCAGGGGTATGGGATTGTTGTCAAGCCTATATATTTTCCAATATAATAATACGTGTAGGGTGATCTCCGGGACTATATATACATACACAATGAGACATAATTTTACCAGTATGCGAAGAGAGTAGTGAAACTCAAAACAATACAATTTACAGTAAGCATTAAAGGTTAAAGAAGTTCCAATTGGCAGTGACCATCTCTGAAACCATCTCTGAAGGATGTCTGGACAATTCATTCTTGGTGCAGACCTTCATCCACAGCTTACTACGAAGGCAATTAAGCTGCGTTTTGTAAGAAATTATGTTGTCACTGAAACAAAGGGAGAAAACAACATAAGAAGCCAAGAGTGTGTGTTCGTAGATAAACAGGTGTTATTCCTACATTACCTTCTTATATATATATATATATATATATATATATATATATATATATATATATATATATATATATATATATATATATATATATATATATATATATATATATATATATATATATGTATGTATTTAGATTGTCTTTAAGTGTTGCTAGGTTCTTCTAACTATGTTGTTTTGGTTCTTTGAAATATAGGTTATGTTCATGCATGTGCACATACCTAAGGACATTGTGAGCAAATACAAGAATGAATTCAATGAGGGGCAAGTTTATGGGATTAGGAATTTCCTATGTATCACAAACTTTTTCAAATACAAAACAAGCACTTTGCGTTATATGATAAAGTTTAAGTATGACACATTGGTGAAGCAATATAAGCGTATCAATTTCCAGAAAACGATGTTTCGGTTCAAGAGTTTCCCTGCTATACTTTCAAAACAAGATGTGGATGAGAAAGTTTTAATGGGTAAGTGATTCATAATCAAAACTGTTATCTTCAAATTACAATTATTATAACCTACAAAAATATCTTATATGACATCATGTGTTCTTAACATAGTCCTATGTTTTTAGATGTCATTGGTAGAGTTGTGGAGATTTATTCTCCACGGGGGAAGGTAATAGCTGAAAAAAAAAAAAAAAAAAAAAAAAAAAAAAAAAAAAACAAAGTTAATAGACTTTGTCCTTGAGGATATGAGGTAAGTTTTGCTTCTGAATTTTGTACTTTGTCTATTACATTTAGTAAGCTATATATTACATTCTGATTGTCTAACTTTCTTAGAATTATGTGTGCAGTAAAAATCATATTAAGTGCACACTTTGGGATGACCATGTGGATCAACTTATTCCTTATTTCAACCAAGATGTTACTGACCCCGTCATACTTCTGATCCAACTATGTCGTGCTAAGTTTATGGACAGTAAGTCTAACTTAGTATTTACTACACACATAATTTGTTTACTTACTTATTTAATCTCTTATGCTTGGTAGATGGTGAAGTGCGCATATGCAGCTCTTTTGATGCAACTCGGCTATTTTTCTCTCACCCCTGTAAGGAGTTTGTTGCATTTAAGATCCAGTGAGTGTACCTAGGAAATCTTTCCTAATTTAATGGTTGCTTCTTAATGAATCATTAAGTGTTCTGTTGGTTTGTTGTTTTAGTAGCTTCACAAGTAACTCAACTCCATTGCCGGTGTATTGATTCCTCATCTCGACTTGGTGTTGGTCTTCCTAATGGTAGTGGTACTTCCAAGGAAGTGTTGGTCAGTTCTATTGAGGAGATATACAGTAAAAAATATGTAAGTTATGATTTTTTGTTTATAACCTATTTGCATAGAGAATATAGTTACCTAAACTATAACTTTAACTATGTATATAAGGCTGGATTTATCAATAATCACTAAGTAACTAATGGTAGTGCTTATAATCTATTTCTGTGGGAATATAGTTACCTAAACTTTGACTTAAAGTATGTAGTGCTTATAATCTATTTTGTGGGAATATAGTTACCTAAATTGTAACTTTAACTACGTATATAAGGCTGGATTTATCAATAATCACTAACTAACTAACAGTAGTGCTTATAATCTATTTCTGTTGGAATATGGTTTCGTACAATGTAAGTTTAACTATGTATACAAGGCTGGATTTATCATAACTAACTAACATTAGTGCTTATAATCTATTTTTATGGGAATATAGTTACCTAAACTGCAGATTTAACTAATTATGTAAGGCTGGATGTATCAATAACTAACTAACAGTACCTTTATTGTGTTATGTTGGGCAGTTGGGGGAGTATTGGGTAGCTGGTCGAATTGTTGGTGTTGAGAGTCTATGTGATTGGTACTTTATCTCTTGCAAGACTAATTCTTGCAAGAGAAAGCTGTCTGAGAGTGGAGGGATACTCTATTGTGCTGGGTGTAAGAGCTATTGGCAAGAAGGGATTGTGAGGTATAGAGTGATAGTTCGTGTTGCTGATGAAACTGGGGATGCTCCCATGCCCATATGGGATCGGGAATGTGCTGATTTGGTTGGTATAGCAGCTGCTGACTTAAAGGAGAAGTATCCTGGGGTATGCAATTTTTTTTTTTTAATCTTCTTACCTGATTTGTGAGGCTAAACCTTGACACAGTATATGAAATTTTCCTAGGGTAATAACTCTATTCCACCGGAGTTAGGACGTTTACATGGGATGTTTATGCTATTTCGGATAGCAATGAAGAAAGATCAAGTAGAGAGTTATTACTCTGCTTTCACTGTTCTACGTGTTTGTAGAGATGAAGCAACGCTTACACAGCACTGCTCAGGTTTCTCAGCTTGCAACCAATCTGAGGTCGTGTCAGCTGATGGTGGTTTGGATGTTGGTCAAGCCTGTGAGGTAGATATCATCTAAACTACAAAAAGGAATGCTTTTAACAAATGACAAACACTTAGTAGCTAATGCTTAAGTTTTTTTTTTTTCTCATTTAGCAAGTGTTTGTTAGTGATGATGAAGAGTGTGAAGGACTGGAAATTGGTTCTGAAGACTTTGACCAGGACCAGTGTGTTGGGCTGGATGAAATTCCTGCAGATCAAGATGATGGGGCCGTTGTTGTTCCTCTTAAGAGGAGCCTTGTAATTTTGCATTTTCTCTTTTTAAACAGATTAACTGGATTAATCAACTGACTAAATGGACTGACTGATTCAGCGATGAATTCAATCAGTAATAACTAATCACAGTGAAGATTAAAGAAAAGATAACACCACAAAGCCAACGACACAGAATGTTTACCCAGTTCGATACAATGTGTATCTACGTCTGGGGGACGATCACATAGGCGTCCAATCCACTAAATCATAATCCGATGTACAAAGGTAGATATACAATAATCTTACCCAAGTGCCCCACACAAGATACATACACAATCTACACAGGTTTAGTGGATTGTTGAAGATGGAGAGCTATGCATATAGAAGTCCAATGAAATCCCTTCACTTGGAGAGCCCACTCTGATGCAGTCCACTTCAATGACGCTCTTTACAGTTGTTCCCACAACAGTGTGATCACAGTGTCCTTCGTTTAAGCAGCAGTGATTCTTCTCAAGTTCGTCATCTTAATCACCATGAACATGTTGTATTGAGAAGAGGCATGATAATCAAAGATCTGATCTCATC